TTCTTCTAGCATTAAAACATGACATCATCACATTTCCATAAACATATTGCTTATCCCATTACAACTTACAGAAAGCAAAAGGATCGTGCAAACAACTAAAAACAAACACACACCTGGGCCAAAACTAAAGATCACAACAAACGGTGTGCGTGTGTTTCCTCCCTTCTAAGCTTCATCACAAACTCTCTACCTTGACGTGATAGTGAGCATCCAGCAGGATGTTGGCCGGCTTCAGGTCCAGATGGAGCAGCGGTGGGTTCATGCAGTGCAGGAAGTTCATTCCCACCGCGGTCTCGTGGATGATGCGAAAGCGGAGCTCCCAGGGCAGCGGCTCATTGGCCAGCAGGGTCTCCAGTGAGCCGGTCTCCATGTACTCCATGACCAGCCCCTGGGGGTCTTCGCAGATCCCGTACACGGGCAGGATGTATCGGAACTTGGCTGCCTCCATCTTTTTAGCTTCCTCGAGCAGCTCGGAGCGATCCCTGTGTTCAAGGAGGAAAATAAAAATATAAAATCACGGACTACACAACACTGCATTTTATTGCGTTTCCTGAACCAGGCTCTGTCGCTGAGGGTGACCCAGCAGTTTTTAACAGAGCAAAAAAAAGCGGAGGGTGGGGGTACTGCAGCTGAAATCTGTTTTGAAGTTATTTGGGTCATCGCTTTTTTAAAACAAAGGCTCACACATTCCTCGGCTCATGGTTATCTATCAAACCTCCCATAAAACATTAACATGACTTTGCTCATTAAGCTGCAATCGTTGGCATAACTTTTTGTCCTAACCGAAATTCCTGCACATCACACATCATCCTTACTGAGCTCTTCGCTATGCCAAATATGTCTGAACATTAACCTTGAAGGGTGTAGAGGCGTGACCTCTGTAAACAACTATAATCCAGGTCTTCCCCGGCTGGTGGTTCTGCTCAAGACAGTCCACCTCAGTCTGCAGAGCAGCTCAAACCCAGCTCTTGTTCTCTGTCGCTCAACCTTTGCGCACAGTGGCCCTTATCAGTCTGCCGGGCCTGCTGACATACCTCAAACACAATCGTGTGGGCCATTCATGACCTCACTGAGTGCCTTAAGCAAAGGTTGCTTTTAAAATGGAGCCTCTTGATGAGAGAGATAAATCACTGTTCATGAGTTTATTTGTAGGAATGTGCTCCAGAGGCAGCTGGAGTAGGGCTTCTGTTTATCTATCATCAACGAAAAGAAATTAGACAAACATAAGAAAGTTTGAAGCGTAGTTTGTCATTAATTTAAATATATATATAAAGAAGTGTGTGTCTGGTTATAATAGTTCTTTGTGGCAGGACAAGTGAAGGAGGTACGGACTCCCCGAATCTGTCTGGTAGGAATAATCAAACATGTCATGGAAGAATGGGCTAGCACTTGTTTGCTAAGCACTTCATCGAATCCAAAGTGCTGCTCAGCGGCTCCGCTGAACCAAACAATGTCCCTGTTTTAACAGAGAGGCCCGGTAAGACCGGTTCTGCGGCTTCTCGTATTGTCTGTGCCACACAGTGGCAGCCTGCGACACAGGCAGACAAAGGTGGCTTTGAGTCCTGGCTGCTGGATGTTATGTGTGGCTGAGCGACAGCCAAATGACTGTTTATGCGCTCTGCAGATGTTTGC